GGCATTCTTAGACAAAAGCTATGTTTGTGATCCACTTGTATAACGGTTTTATCCACGCAAGTTTACTGCTTTACTGCTGTCTCTTATTTTCAGTATGAGTTGATCAGAGTGAATTTCACTTGTTGAGCTACAATTATGTTGTATCAAGCACTCTGCGACACTACTTTCTGTTTATGCGTACCTGATGTCTAGACTTGCAAGTGTTGGTAAGAGAAAAAGAATGGTCGTCAAAGCAAAGAGCAAGAAAATAAAAATTGGAGTTTTAAATATAGCAGCATCCTCCTACAAGGCATCTATTGCTAGTTGTGCTCAAAGTTACTCTCTTTAGCCTCAAGAATATTATGTATTATAGTAAGTTCTACTCAAAAATACTCTTCACATCAACTGGTGCTAAAATAAGTACCAGATTAATCAGTACTATCTGCTGAAAAGGGTCTCTTTTGTATTGATTACAGTGTACAATGAACCTTGAATGCATATTTGAGGACAATGCTCAAATCAAGTCGCCTTTCTTTTTTTTTTATCTTAATGAACTCGTTTTCTTTTCATTGGAAGTACATAAAAATGGTCTTACCTGATTCCGGTTAGATCAGACTTACATTGGGTCACTCCAAAGATTCTTGATCGAGTTTTTTTTTTTTTGTTTTATTTTATTTTGTTTTATTTTATTTTATTTTATTTTATTTTATTTTATTTTATTTATTTTATTTTATTTTATTTTATTTTATTTTATTTTATTTTATTTTATTTTATTTTATTTTATTTTATTTTATTTTATTTTATTTTATTTTATTTTATTTTATTTTATTTTATTTTATTTTATTTTATTTTATTTATTTTATTTTATTTTATTTTATTTTATTTTATTTTATTTTATTTTATTTTATTTTATTTATTTTATTTTATTTTATTTTATTTTATTTTATTTTATTTTATTTTATTTTATTTTATTTTATTTTATTTTATTTTATTTTATTTTATTTTATTTTATTTTCACGGACCACCGTGAATCCCCCATCGGTCAAAACATGAATTTTACCCAACAACCAAAGCAATGGTACCATTTGATTTCTGAACTCAAACAAACATGCTCTAAACAAAACAAAACGAAAAACGGGCCGCTTTAGTAGTCTGGTTGTCGAGCAATGAGGCATCAAAGATTGGCATGTTTAAGCAGTGTTTTGAGAGCTTTTGCTCTAGATTTCATATAAAATGCTTTAGAAATGGGTCTTTCTAAAGCACCTTATACTATTTTGAGCGTTAGGGAGCATGTCGAGATAGAAAAAATAAGCATTTTCTAATGTAAATGTGGGGGGGGGGAATGGATATAGAACATACCAGATGGCGTTTTGTAGAGATTGAAATAAACAACTTCAGTTCTTCCTCCTGCCGCATCAGAAATTGAGCTTTTGCTTGGAACTGCATAAAGACGCAGATAGTGGGCTCTGATACAGTAACAAAAGTTATAAATTTTTGCTTTCTGAGTCTGTTGATATGCAGGATACAACAACCTTTCTGCCAAGATATTGAGTAAAGATGCAAGAACCTATAAAAGGTTTTTCGCTGTTACCATACTATCTTTATAGTACAACTGTTAAACAAACACATTCACCATAAACTAGAGCTTTCGGCGCTTATTTTAAGCATTTAAGCTTGTCAATAGCTCTATTCTTTGTCTTGTAACATTAAAAAAAAAAGAACAAGAGTTGTCAATCTTAAGATTTTTCATGGGTAAATACCCTTTGGTCAAATGGTCATTTTGACCATTTTTTACAAGTTGCCTTTTTTTTTTGGTTCAAATCAACACCAAAGGCACCGTAGATGTTAGTAAACATTGTCTCTAGGTCTTTAAAGTATTTTTGCGTATAGAAATAGGCTTTGAAGCACCTTCATTTGCATAAGAAAAAGATGAAGCTTTGTATGGATTGTTAAAGCCTGCATCTTTACGGTGTTCCTACCACATGAATTTCATACCGGATAGGTTATTTGCATATAGATACCTTACTAAAAAGACACTTGGTCCCCCAAATCAAAAAAAACAGATGAAAATATCAAGATGGTGATAGACTCACTTCAACTTTATGATACATAATATATGAAAAGTAGCTTTTGGAACATACATCAAACATGATACTAACTATCTTATATTCACAGCTTCAACTTAATTACACATTTTTTCTATAGCAAAAGACACTTTTAACTCAAAAAGTACAATACCATTTGCATAATTTAATGAAGCCAGTGATCTATTGTCTAGAGAGAGGCCCAAAAAAACAGTGCACGTTATGTACGTAATTCGAGACATTTTCTTGTGTTAAATCATGTCTTTTGGGCAGTTTCTATAGCTGATATATAATAAAAAGTTGAATTGTATGAAAAATTCCATGTATAAACCCCCCCCTCAGATTACTTAGAGGACATCTGCTACAAGTCTCTACAGTTTTTCTCTTTTGATCTTGCTTTTGCATACAGTTTTTCAGTATACAATTAAAAAGAATTATACACAAACAATCTTTAAGCCAATAAAATGATCATTATTGTTAGTTTTTGTGACAGATACTTGCTTATAGCAAACATTGGCTACAAAGCTTGGGACCATTGATTTTGGCTGCTAATTTAATGACACTCAATATTTCTGCCTTTCGTATTATACAACAAGTAGGCTGAAAAGAAAAGACGCGTTATCAATTATTTTAAATACTAGTATATATACTTTATTAAATAAAAGATAAAAAAGAAACTGGTACTTTAGCCAAATACTGTGAGTATTTGTTTCCAGGAACTAGGACGAGGACCTAAACCAGTTCAATTGAGTTCCCAAAAAGATGGTGCGCGTGCGCACAAAGCCCCTCAGACCCCACTATATAGTATTCACACTATCAAAAAAAATGGAATGCCTATCATTTTCAATAGATGATCCGCTCAAACGAATGAATGGACGAACACTATATATAAAAAGCCATTACTCTGTCCGATAGTCGACCCTAAATGAATAGAGCTTGCCACGAATAGACAGGTACCCCTTCAAAGTGAAGCTTAACTTTAGAAAGACTATTCTAGCCATCAGACTAAAATAAGCCCCTCTAAAGGGCATTCACAAAAGAAAAGGCGAATGACTATCAATCCCAGTAACCTTCACTACCGCTTTCTAGCACTATCACAGTAGCAAACGACCAAGACTGCTGCAATACCCTAATAGCCACACACACAAAGAAATGAGACTACCAAGATACCACGAATAGGGTTAAACTTATTACTATCCGATAGGTTCCCCTCCCTCCCCACAAGTGAGAAGAAGGTGCCAAAAAAAGATAGTAGCCTTCCAGCGTTGGGAATATTTGGACTTGGACTGCCAGTGCGCATAACTAAGATGGAATACCCCCTCGGACAGGACCATAAGCTAACCCTCTACACGCGTCTGTTTTACTCTCTATCAAATTCGGCAAAGACCCGTTTAGTGAAAAAAAGGCAGACTATCTTGACAGAGAATGCACTTGCACCCAGGCGATGAATCCCCCTAGATACGTTTGGTACATTATCCTGAAAGGACAGAAAACAAACACGCTGCAAAGAAAGCAAAGAAAAAAAGGGTAGGAACCTGTTTTTATATTCTGATAAGTTCCCTGACCATTATTCAGACTCAGTTATACTCAGCTAACTTTCTAAACCCCTGTTTTAAAGGCTTATTGAGGGCTTTAGAGGTATAGAGACTACATGATCGAATACAGAAACATATAATCTATGTTCTCCTACTGTATTGAGTTGACACAGTAATAATAACACTATTTTATATAGCAATCTTTTTTTCATATAGCTGCATAATCATGGATTTTGTTTGCCGCCAAGGCTTACAAAGTAGCAGTATCAGACACATACAGCTGTACCTGAATCCAGCAATGCAGTCTCAACTCGACAGACTATATTACTAGATTTGGTTGTAATAAGAATAGAAGATTCAAATACATTACCTCTCTGAAACCTGAAGCTAAGAAATAGATTCGATCTCTCTAATCATGTCAATGTAATTTACACTTTGAGAAACCTCAACAATGAGACGCTATTTGGATACACAAGCGTTGAGAGTCTATCCTTTTCTCTTGCTTGATTTTTTATTGACACTATCTAACTGCTCATCTACAGTTTTATATCTGTCAAAAAGCTCATTTCATCTCTTTTGCACTTCCTTTAGTCTACTCTTTATTTTGTAAGTAGAGAAAAAAAGCAACAAGTGACTTTGCATAACCCAATTTACCATATCAAACTTAAGCCTAACTTCTTTGATTTCATTCAATGCACAGCAAAAAGCTTTATACTACGTCTGATAATAAAGTAATGCAGAAATCATTTCCTGAGTGTCTGTAAGGTTCTCCGTTAAGGCGTCCTGCTGGTTCAAGACTGTCTTCTTCTGATTCTGCTCTGTTTGGTTGGTGATTCTCAGGATGATCAAGGCTTTCTCTACTCAGGCTGGTCTCTCAGGTGTCTTCAAGGGAGTTGATCAATTGGTGTAGGACTTTCAAGATCTTCTTCTCAAGCTCTGGTTCTCTTTGGTATATAAAGGATATTCATTCAAGGCTTGGTAAGTCTTCATGGTATATATTTCCTTCTTTGAGTCTTCTTTTTTTTGTTTGAAAGTCTGATCAACTCTTGTTTAGACAAGAAGAGCATCTGAAAAGACTTGATTACCCCGATCAAATTCATAATATATGCGTATCGCGTATGTCTCTCTTCTTTTAAGTTCTCCCTTCTTTGTTGTTTCGTTTCCTTTCCTGGGCAATATCGTTTACTTTTGTCATGTTTGATTGCGACTGCTCGCTACCCAAAAGTGCTTCAAAGTTATCACGTCTTTTTCTGTTTTGGAAAAGCATCTTTTTGCTCCATCTTGAAGCAATACCATAAATAGCAACTTTGGATTCCTTTTGTAAATTAAGGTTCATAAGAGAACACCTAATGAAAAATAAGGGAGTGACGGTGGAACAATTCTTATGGATTTTTATGCCTTCAAAGGCACTTGAAGAAGATAAAGAAACGCCTTTTAATTTTTTTTTTTTGTTTTTTTTTTCCAGATGAAAAGACAATACGAGCACGAACAAGAACAGCCTCATAAAGCACAAAGACGTCAATACGATTCCAACCCGAATAGTGTTGCTCAACATTACAACGATCGTCCTGATGTTGGTGCTGTAAAACGAAAAGAATCGCGTATCATTCGACTTCGAAGTTTCAATAACTGGGTCAAAAGTGTCTTGATCCATCGCTATGTTCGACCCAAAACAAATGTGTTTGACATAGGATGTGGAAAAGGTGGTGATTTGATCAAATGGGCTAAAGCAAGGATTCATCATCTTGTAGCAGCAGGTAACCCTATTTTTTTTTTTCTATTTGTCACTAAACTCAAGTTTAGATATTGCTGATGTGTCCCTGCAACAAATGCAAGAACGATACAAGTCATTAAGAGACCGTACATTTACAGCAGAATTCTATCCTATGGATTGTTACCAAGTAAGTCTTTTTATGACACCTTGAGAAGAGAAGATTAAAAAAAAAACTTTTTATAGGAACTCATTGCTCCTAAATTAAGACCTGATATGCGATTTGATACAGTCTCTATGCAGTTTTGTCTTCATTATGCGTTTGAAAACAAACAGAAAGCACGTACCATGCTTCAGAATGTATCTGAGCGCTTACGTTCCGGCGGTTATTTTATTGGCACGATGCCTGATGCCAATTGGATTGTGAAGCGTGTACGTCAAGAACCCAAAGGATCGTTTGGATTTGGTAATTCAATTTACAGCATTACATTTGAAGATATACAAGATGTCAATGATGACCGTAAAAAAATTGGTTTTAAGCCTTTTGGCTGCAAGTACATGTTTCATTTAGTAGATGCTGTAGATTGCCCTGAATATCTTGTCCATTGGAAAACATTTGAGAGGTAAGATACAGATGACAAACAGTCTATTCAATCATGCCTAGTCTTGCCAAAGAATATGGGTTGCGCTTGATAATCAAAGAAAACTTTCATCAATTCTATACCTCTGCTTCACAAGAAGAGGGATTCTCGAGGTTATTACAACGTATTGGTGTTGTGGGCGGTCATACGCCTGAAATGACAGAAGAGGAGTGGGAGGCAGCGGGCATTTACCTCGCGTTTGCATTTGAAAAACAGTAATAAAATTTATTTGGCTTTAGCAAGACCTACACGGTTATTGCCTAAATCATAAACACTATAGAATTTGCGTAAAAAGACATCGCCCACAATCCAAAGAGGGCCAGCAGGTTCAGGAATATCCATGCCCATAAAACCAGAGATACATTGGTTCTGAACGTTCAAGACATAATCTTCTCCTGACAGACAAAAGTCTTTGCCAGAAAACGTCAAACAAAACTCGGGGAGTTCAGGCACACGGTCACATTCAAGCACGTATTGACCTGCCCAGTTCTTTTCAGCCCCGAGTTCATGGTTGATCAAGTCAGCAATGGTGGTGGGCACAACCAACAAAGAAGAACCTGTATCAATAGCAGCGCCTACAGGGTCCAAATCAACATATTCATCACCAAACTTGATGTTTTCCAACGTGATTTCCCAATATCCTTTACGGCGGATATCAGACCAAACGATTTCACCAGAATAATGGTGAGGATCGATACCGCCAAACACAACTTCACCACCTTGGTCAGAGCCTTCTTCAAATGCATTCAACCAGAAGCTAAAGACCGGCTCATCGATCAAGTCACGATTGACCATATGATAAAAAGGAGGTACCGTGTGTTGTACGGCAATGTTATCATACCCAAGGCCCAAGATACCGTCAAATTTAGCAAAGGCAAAAGTAAAGCCTGGCTCTTTGACAGATTCAGCAAATCCTTGGTGATCAATCTTGATACCACCTAAAGTAAGAGAGTCCTAACATCACATTTAGATATCACATGAGAAAAAAAAACTCCTTACTTGACTAATGAAACCCTCCAATGAACCTGTACCATATCGAATACTGAATTCAGTACCATTTTCAGCAAATGTTTTAGATTTGCCAGAATCATAACGTTTATGCAAGAAACAAGCAATTGAATTACAATGCTTAGAAGGCACCCAAAGATTAGAGGAGCCTGTATCAAACACAACCGTAAAGGGTTGAGGAGGTGAACCTAATTGGATTTCACCATAATACTAAACGAATGAGCATACGATAAAGACACATGTTGCTTACTTGAGCATTCATATAGTTTGATAAAGGCACACCATGACGAGCAGAACCATCTGCTTCTACTTGAAATGTTTCAAGGCCCGTATTCTTTTGACTCTTGAAATACTTTTGTGCCAAGTATTCTCCTGTATGAGAATATCGCTCAAGTCGCTCAGCTGATGTCTCTTGGTGTTTCTTGAGTGGAATTCTAGAAAATGATGAGCATACGCATATTAGCTGTGTCCTATCTACCTTGTCATGGCTGCTTCTGTCCATACGGAGCAAACAGCCATTACTACTGCAGATAATGCAAAAAATCTCATCTTTGATTCTTGGCAAAAAAAAAAAAAAAAAAATAATAATAAAAATAAAACGAAAATAAGCGGCATTTTTATAGCTTTTTCTTTTCTATAGGTTACTCAAGATCATTTGATATACATAAACAACGTAATCCACTTAACATGAAACTTGTAACATCGCTTTCTTTATTATTACTATTTTAGTGATCATTGTTCATAACACGACTATCACGGTAGCCTCTTCCACCTCTTCCCCTTGTACTTGCTCTTCTATCAGGTGAATTGTATTGTGTATTGGGTCGATTGATAATCAATTTGTTATCACGGTAAATCATACCGTTCTTTGCGAGTGCTGCTTCTAATGCTTGTGCATTAACAAACTCAACATAACAATGTGCTTTTGGTAACTGCGTCGTGGAATCTATAGGGAATTTGATACTCGTAACCTAATAGTGTCATGAGTAAGGTATGATATATAGAATGATTGACTTACATTATCATGACCAAAATAAGCACGAATATCATCTTCAGTCACTGTGGTGTTGGAAAGACCACCCACATAAGCTGTATAAAGATTACGAGGTTGCTATAGAGAGCGTAAATAAATAAAAACATGCGTCTATAGACTCACCATGCTTTGTCGCTTTGAATTTCTGTAATTGGTATTGGACATATGATGACTGTTGATTGAAGAAGGAGGAGGGGTTGTACTAGCTGTTGTACTTGTGTTCTCAGTATCTTCATTGGATTTACTATTGGGTTTCTCAAGTACAGGTGAACTTGCTTGTTGTTTTCGGTAAGAGAAATTCAAACCATAACTCTTCATTTCAGAAGCAATGATGCCTTGATGGATAGTAAACATCAAGGAACCATAGGCAGCATCGGGTAAATTGAAGTTCCACATGTTTTTATAAGCGAGTTCATCGCGTTCCCAAAAAGCAGATTCAGCACTGGATCTATCAGAGCCTGGCTCCAGGTCTTGAAGTGAAGGAGGAATACGGTTGACGACATTGAGAGCATTACGAAGCAATGTATATTGGTGTTCACTAACAGAACATCAGTATAGTTTACATCATCTCGTCAACTTACTCGACTGAATCTTCTACTTGCTCTTTAATGGCATCCCATAATTGCATAAACTGTTGTTGAGATTGTAATAATCTGTTACGGAAATGATCAATTTCAGGTTGGCAGGCAAATTCATTATAAGCAATATTATAACGGAAATGAAGACCAGCAGAAATAGTAAAATCAGCCTAAAAGAAAACAATGAGTTTCCTGAAAGACATGCTTAGAGGAATGCTTACATGTAAAGTTAAAGCAAGTTGAGCTAAAAGTCCTTCTCTTCCGGGACTTGCATGGGTCACTAACACCCGAGTTTCTGTAGGGTCATAGACACTCGCAGCAAGTTCAACTAACTCGCCAATCTGCAGGGCAGTTGTCCACATCACACCCAAACCACCAGCAATTGTGTCCGTACCTAACGTATGCACATTAAACAAATCGTCTTCTTCATTTCTCCTTACCTTCACCATTATCAAACAATTTATGTTGCACAACAGCTCCACCCAACCCAAACAGTCTTAGACTGACACCACTTAATTCCAACACATGCGTTGAAGCCTCATCCAAAAGAAACAGGTTCTCAATACGATACTGACCCGAGCGAAACTTTTCGATAATAGCCACGTCTTCACAAGCACCCCAGACAGTATAGACAGGTACATCCAATGTCTTGTTGCCTGCTAAATAATCGGAAAATTCACTCAAGAGTGTCTGTGGTGATTGTTCAATCGTACGATAGATTTGGTCACTTGTGCCTGCCAAGATACGAGACCGAGTAGCTGCAGGAATCAAAGTGGTATATTGAATCCAGTGTTTCAGAGGTCTGTCACCGATTCTGTCTAGACTGGATCGATCTAGAAACTGTGAGTATCTAGAAAGGATTCGAGACCGTCTTTGTTACCATAGAAACCAAAATCACCCGTATGGATAATATAGTCCGCGTTGAAGTCGCGTGCAAGACGATTGAGTTCAGAGATGTTACCTTGACGTCTTTTTAGTTTTGTTTTATTTTATTTTAACTTGTCTTTTACCTCTGACATCTGCTGTACATAAAATACGTTTACCCTCTACAAGATGAACACTTGACATAAGATGAAGTAATAAAGATAAAAATAAAATGAAATAAAAAAGAGCGGAGTCGAGTTAATTTAAGGAGTAAGAAAAAAAAAGGTACCCATTCTCAAGTAACACAGACAACAGATTTATATATAAATGCAAGAGGGGGGGTATAGTTTATGAGTAGACATGCATCACTCCACAAGAAACATTGATGAGCATACCAGCCACAATACCTAAACCAAGAGTTAAACAAGAGTCAATCAAAATGAAATTATTTTACCCATTTGATGTCGACGAGTAAATACGGATTCCTTGAACCAAAATAAGCACAAGACACCTAAGAAACAACCCAAGACAAGGCCACATAACATTTCTTTAAAACTGCCTTGAACAGCTAATAAAATATAAGCAAAGAAAAAAGTCATGCATTTACTTACATCCTTCTGGCGGTAATAACCGACCTGTGTGTTCAATCCATGTTTCTTCTAATGCTAATAATTCTTGACTTACAGGCTCTATTGAATGATAAGCATGATATTTTTATGCAACAAATTACCTCCATCAATATAGTCGGGATGTGATTGGTGGAATTGAAGTCGAATACTACGAATCTCCTCATCATTATAACCAGATTCACGCAGTTTATCAAACCCAGCCAATCTAGACTATATTCTGTGTTAAAGAGGGATGATATCATGTTTAGACTTACTTTGGTTTCTTTTGTTTGATGCAGTGTACTGGTTGGTATCAAAGGATCAGATAAAGCACAATGAATAAATAACTGAGGTTGATGTCGAATACCATAATCTGATAAGGTGTATTGATCATGAACCAATAATTGGCCTCGATGAATTAATCGCATTGTTTTCTTGGTTGTTTGTTCAGGCGCATAATATCGTATCTAGAATATTCCTGTCAGGATAATGTCATTTGTTTATAATAGACCTACTTTTTGCTTTATGGATTGAATTGTGTCTTTGTTATAAGATATACTGAATAACAATTCTTGGTCATTAGGCCATCGAATATGAATATCAATCGAATCGTTCATAATAGTAATAAAGAAGAAGAAAAAAAAAAGAGTAAATGCATTCGGCGATTCAATCCTTATATAGGTGTGACATAGTATTAAAAAGGTATACACAACAAGACACGCTTTTTTGTTTTATTCGAAACGAATACTCATAAAAAATGCCAAGCACCTTGGTGGCTATTATAGGTAATAATAACCCAAAATTCACTTATGACCTACTCATGATGATTAGAGGGCGCATGTAGTCCTGCACGCTATGAACCTGAACTTGGTCTTAATCTCGAGATTTGTGAAATGATTAACAAGAAACAAGGCACTGCGTAAGTTGTATGTCATTCCATTTTTCTCCAACCAACACCTATAGATAGACCTAGAGAAGCAGCATTTACTATTGTGAAATTAGTCAATAGTAAAAATGTAAACCAAGCCATGCTTGCACTGACCGTAAGTTGCTATTAAGAGAATATGCATCTATTTACATATAGCATTAGTTGCTTGATAATTGTGTCAAGAATTGTGGATATCCTTTTCATCTTCAAATAGCCACAAAAGAATTCTTGAATGAATTAGTGCGCAAATTCCCTGAACGCCCTGCTGTAAGTGTGTAGATATGTTAGATGAAGAGAACTGACCAAGTTCTAGCCTTTTCCTAACCCAGTCATTCAACGTATCCTGTATCTGATTAAAGAGTGGAAAGTAGCATTGACTGATATATCCAAGCATAAAGACGATCTTGTGCACATCAAAGACATGTATCGACTTTTAAGGTTCAAAGGTACACATACACAGTGTGACATTGGATATCCTATTTATCATACATATATATACATATATAGGCTATCGTTTCCCTGAATTAAGAGATGCTTCTGTGGCTGCATTGGCTCCCTCTGATGTAAGTTGAATGATTTGATTTGATAAATTAATCAAGTTTTAGTCTTTGAAATCTGCTCATGAATTGGAAGAAGAAGACCGTGTAGCACAGTCTGCTGTAAGTGATGGTTATGCTTACTGATGTTGTATATTCATTCTTCTTTGAATAGAAACTACAAGAACTCATTCGTCGTGGTCGACCTCAAGATTTGGTAGAAGCCAATCGTCTGATGAAAATCATGTCTGGTTTCGTAAGTCTTTATCTGATAATCTACTGTATCATTCACTCTAGAACAGGATACTCGACAAACACCAGACTATGGTCAAAAGTTTGAAGATGAACTAGCCAAGATTCAAGACAAGACTATTCTGTTGTATGAAATGCTAGAGACTATCAAACCAGGTGAAAAGATAGACCGTAATGAGACTATCATGGATCTCAAGAATGCTTGTGCTAGTGCACAACCCAAGATTCAAAAGATGATTACAGAAGAAGAAGACAATGACAAGATTGAGAATTTACTTACATTGAATGATATGATCAATAATGCCATGGCTAAATTTGCTGATGTCAAGAAGGGCTTGTTTGATACACATTATGAAATCAGTGGTAAACAACCTACAGCACCTTCAGACTCACAAGAACCTGCTCGACAAGGCATTAGTTTGATTGATTTGGATGATTTAAGTGATAGTCCTTCTCCATCAACTACTCAATCATCAAGTACTGCATTAAATGATTTGTCTGATATCTTTGGGACCAATATGAACATCACACCAGCCAAAAAGACAGCCGATATCTTTGATCTCTTGGGTGGTAATGTTCCACCTAGTCATTCCCCTTCTTCGATGCAATCACCCACACTACACCAAGCTACTTCACCTATTGTCTCTCCTGCAACAACCAACAAAAAGACAATCACACTTGTTAATAAGAATGGCTTATGTATTGAAATTGAAGTTCAGGAACAAGACACCCAATGCTTTATGAAAGCCTTTTTCTCTAATCAATCCACTGCACCCATGGATAAGTTGATGTTGAGATTGGCTGCTCCCAAGGTAGATAGACATTGTGTGTTTATACAGTCATTTATATAGTCTATAGTCTATGCAAATCAAAATGGAGCCTCAGTCTTCACAAACATTAGGTCCTAAATCAAGTCGGGCTATTACTCAAGTAATCATGCTTCAAAACCCTAATAAGGTAAGAAATTAACTATGGTTTCCTTTTTTATTGAATGATATGGCTAGGAACCCCTTCGTTTAAGATACAAGGTCTCATATGAACAATTTGGTGTTGATATGGAATTAGTGGGAGACTATCATGCTTAACATAAAATAAAAAATAAAGAGAAATAAACAATAAGTTTATTATATATATATATATATATATATAAAAGTGTGTGTGTGTGCGCATATATATATATATATATACAAATAAATATATAAATAAGAACTTAAGGTTTGAAAGGAGCTGCTCGACGGAAAGAACTAAAGTTCTCTCCTTGGTTTTCCGTCATGTTTTTCATTAATTCCTCTTTTTTTTGTTGTACATTGGAAGAAGTGGCTTCTTTCTTTGCTTCTTGTTCATTCTGTAACCTGTTGTCAATCTACATACTCAACAAATCATGTTACTTACTGCCTTATAAATAGTCCAGTCAAAAATATAGTCATACGTATATCCTTCCCGAACAAACAAGTCTCTAAACAGCTTTCGAAGATAGGAATAATCTGGCTTATCATCAAATCGTAAAGAGCGAGTATAATTCAAGTAAATAGCAAATTCACTTGGGAAACCACGACACAAGAGTTCTGTAGGTGTAGTCATTTTCTTTTCCATGATACGATCGTATTTCTGTTTCTTGGTCGTTGCTTTCAACCCTTGCCATGGTAATGAACCTCGACAAAAGTACATAAGTACATAACCCAATGATTCAAGGTCATCACGTCTTGATTGTTCAACACCCAAATGTGTATTGATGCTCGCATAACGTGCTGTACCAGTTAGGTTCTTGTTTTCTCTGTAAGGGATATGCAAGTGTGTGCGTGGGTCACGGTATTTTTTGGCAAGACCAAAATCGATGATATTGACCTGATTACCTCGTTTGCCAATGCCCATTAAGAAATTATCGGGCTTGATATCACGATGAATAAAGTTTTTGCTGTGAACATATTCAATACGAGAGAGCTGAAGAGAAGAAGGAAAAAATTAGAAGAAACAAGGAGAGAATACACATACCATCTGGTCAGCCAATAAGAGAACTGTCTTCAATGTGAATTTACGGTTACAGAAATTAAACAAGTCTTCAAGAGAAGCTAATTCAATAAAAGCTGTTATTATCATCATCCAGTATATTGCATCACTTACGTCCTAATAAGTCAATGACCATAGCAAAGTAGTCACATTCTGCACCAAACCATCGCACAAAAGGAACACCTACACCACCAGACAATGCTTTGTATACTTTGGCTTCATATTCTAACTGAGGATGTTTGGCTTTCACAGATTCTAGTTTAATAGCTACTTCTTCGCCTGTAATTAAATTGGTGCCTATAGAAAGTATTATGAATATATATAAAAAACATACAGAGTTTATTGTTTCTTTTACCAAGGTAAATATCACCAAAAGAACCTGCACCAATCTTTCTTCCAATTCTATATTTATTTCCAACTCTCAAGTCCATTGGTGAACGCATCAACTAGTCTCTATTACAAAGAAGAATATGTGGTAATTTAGGGGTGGTTTAGTGCTTACGATTGTAATGAAGAACAAGAAGAAGTGGGATGGAGAAAAGAAAAAAAAATTGTTCACCTGTTATGTAGCGGAGTTCAGTTTGGTAATCGTCATGATTTGGACCGCTTTTTTTTGGGGGAGGTTAAACCAGATGGTAATTGAATGACTTGATGAGAGAAAGAAGAGTATGTCTACTTTAACATGAGTACATACTCATCTGTATTTAAGACGAACAGAATGAATCAAATGATAAAGTAGATTCACGCAAAGAAAAAGAAAATTAAGGAGTAGGGGCGGAGTAAATAAAGTTTATCAGGGCGTATGGATAAATTGATAATCCAAACAATCATTTTAAAATCAAACGAGTTCATACGTGTTGTCTGTGCGTTTTTTCTTTTATAGAAGAGTCATAAAAGTCAGTCTGTCACATAGTATCAGCAAACCTGGTTTTAGGTGATAATAACTAATGTCAATTTTAGGTATTACTCGTTTGTTTTACTTTACAACAAAAAAAAAGAGAAGTTTAAAAGATGTCATTCAAGACCCTGAATGATGAAATGAAAAGATGCTAATTACTTTCATTGTATGCAGGAATCCTATTGGACAAACTGACTTTACAATGTGCAAAAATACATGATCAATAAGGCATAAGAGTTTTGTACCAAGCTAAACTACATTTGTGATAATTACTCACAACCACTGTAGGCTGTCTATACTCTGTTGATGCTATCTAGACAATGAATCGTTTTCAAAACAAAGTTTGTATCTGTATTTCATACCTTCTATGGTCGTAATATGTGTCAACAACTTAGGTAAAGAATTTTAATGCATAAACTAGATATGTACAAAAGTTCAATACTGAAATATATATATATAAGGATCAAATATGTAATAATCATAAAACAAGTAAAACAAGAAGATGTAATGGACATGAGATATAGAGAGATTAAGATACATATCAGATGATGACATACACTGAGTATATTAAATATAGGCATTTGAGTTTTGTCAACAAACACTCTAACTAGAATGACACTTGGTTAAGCAACACATTCATTTGGTCAAGGAAAATGTATTTTATTTAGCAGCATCGTTATTTTTAGAAAAAGGATGTCAAGTCTGTTTTTCTATAAACAAATTTGAACTTGAAAAGAATAGACCAATACATCATAAAGCAGCTTAAAAGAAAAAAAAATGATGCTGCCTGTAAAGTAGTTCTTCTTTTTCTCTAGAAGCATATTCAATAACATTTTTGGGGATTGTATTGACCTTGCTGAACCATGAAAAACATGTAGATTGGCTTTATTTAAAAGCTAATGTATTGTACATCACTTTAGATAGTTTAAAGGACTGTTTGGGTAAACAGCTTTTGAGAGAATAAACCAATTAGCCTGTTTACTAATTGCGCTCAATAAGCAGATAATTCTGATGCATCCTCTCTCTTTTTTTTTAAAAAAAAGTAAATATAACTACTAGATCAATCAAAGCAAATAAAGGGAATCTTAAACTAGACTATTATCATATCATTTGTCTAATTGGGTCCCTTGATCTTGCACTACATTTTGTCTTTATGTCTTCTCTTACTTATACAAATAACGTAGTCGGACGACTTAAAACCTGATGCTCATTACATATAACTTGGTCTGGTTTTAATCACTTTTTTCAAATTCAGCCCCCGTTTCTGAAAAATCTCATCTTTCTTATTAAACCGCGTTTTTTTTTTTCTTTTACTATTTTGCAACAATCCTCTACGCACATTTTGGTGCCTGTTTCGTCTCGATCTGACGAATCTAGCACTTTTAGTAACTCCATTCCTGACATTTCGACATTTCCATCTACAGATCTCGACATCGAGTCCCCATCTCTTGTGAACAAGTTGTCCGATAAAGCTCAAACTTTGTCAGAATCATCGTCTTTATTATCTACATCCCCTAGAAAAGTTTCAAGTCTCTCCGGTAAGCGGTTGCATAGTTCACTTTCGCCATCACTGATCCCTGCCGACATGACGCGTACCCTGCCTCGATCTCGAGTTGGTGATGTCAACACCCCTTCGAGATCAGCTCATCTCGATCTCGAAAAAGACGTTGTCTTTGACTTTGGTGTTTCTGTTGCTCCCTCTAGCTCTGGTGTTGACTCTTTGCCAGAAGTAAGTGACGTTCCTTTGCTCCCTCCTTCCCCTCCTGCTTGGTTTGCTGCTTTCCAGGCCAAGTTTGAGCAACATGAGGAGCGTTTGGCCCAACTGGAGTCCCTGGTCGCCGAGAACTCTGCCCTCAAGAAGGAGCTGGCTGCCGCCCGTTCTAGAATCTTGGAGCTTGAGTCCCAAGCTGGCTTGTCCACTGCCTCTCCCTTGGAGAATGATCTGGTTGCTGCTCCCTCCTCTTCTGTCTCGCCTTCTGCTGCTGGCTCCAAGTGGGCTCAAGTTGCCAAGAGGAACCCTACGCCTGCGGAGGCCTTTGGTAAGCCCAAAAAGTCCGACTCTCTCTCGGTTGCCAAGGCCAAACCCAAGGCTAGGATCACTCCTAAGCAACGTAAGGCCGCTGCTCGCATCTTTCTCGTCTCTTCTCCTGCTGCTACTGGTACTTGTGTAGACAGGCCTCTTTATGAGTATGTCTACTTGCCAAACAAGTACCGTGACCGTCTCTCTGCCTTCCGCCGCAAGCTGCGACTGATCGGGTTGGATAACAGCCGTGTACTTGATGTGCACTATCCGGCTCGTAATGTCGTAGCCTTGCTGATCCATTCGGCTTACAAGGAGGATCTCCTGAAGGTCATGGCCAAGTACTCGCTTCCGGTCTTGACTGACTTTGATCCTTTCTCTGCGGTCAATGTCAAGGATCCTGCCTTTGCGTCTTTGGATGCTGATGCTCTGACTGTAAAGGCTCGTGAGCTCCAGGCGGCTCGTCTTGTCCGTGCGCTTGGTTACATCCGTGAACAAGTACGTAGACAGGTGGCCTACGACTTTGTTCGCCAAGGATGGTTGTCGAAAGAACAAGCTGGCAAAGTGGTTGGTCCCCTCTCCGCTGTGGCTGGTGATGGTACTAGTGCTGGTATTAATGCCCCTCTGTCTCTCCTTCCAGTATGGACTTTACCTTGGCCGGTGATGGTGAACCGGTCTCCTCCTCTTAATGAGTGAGGCACCTATGCAACTCTCCTCCGCCTGTATGCCCCCTTCCTCTCCTTCTGCCTATGACTTCACCATGACTATATGGAATGCTAATGGTATTGCTCGTCAAGCCATTAGCACTGTTACCGATTACCTTTATGACTCCTCACTTATCTTTATAACCGAAACCTGGCTTCTTCCTCCTCTCCGCTTCCCTACCTCTTGGCAACAGTACCACACCTATGGGCAACCTGTTGCTGACTCTTTCCGTGGCAAGATGGGTATCTCTCTTTTGGTCAATCCCTCTTGTCCTTATCCGGTTACTCCTCTTCCGTCCTCCTCTCCTTATGTCTTCTCCTGCCAGGTTTCTACCTTTCTCATCCATTGTGTCTATGCCCCTCCTTCCTTGACCGATGATGAGTTTATGTCTCTCCTTATGTCTCTCCCTGCTCGCACCCATGCCTCTCAGACCAACGCATTCATTTGTGGCGATCTGAATGCACGTAGTGTTCCTCTTCTTGGTGACTCTCGAAGCAACACTCGTGGTACTCGATTGGCTGAATGGATTGAAGAAGCTGGTCTCTTCTGCTGGAACTCTCTTTTGGCCAAAGGTGTTCCTACCTTGTTCTCTGCTGCCCGCATGGCCAATGCTCAACCTGGGCACACTAGCTGGAGTAGTGTGATTGACCTTTTCATCAGCTTTGATGATCTGGTTCATCCCTCTTTGGTTGTGCGTGATGTTGGCCTTGGCTCTGACCATGTTCCTGTCTCTCTCTCTTGCTCTCTGCCTTGCTCTCTGCCGCCTGCACCTATGGCTCATCCGCGTCTTTTATGGAAACTGTCTTGTCTGGATGATCACAAGAGTGTAGAGCTGTATCAGTCTCTTTTCCGGTTGCATAGCGCGCCGATCAAAAATACACTCTTGGCAGAAGTTAAGTATACACTTGAAACGGACTACGGGCAACATAGCAGTCGTACCTCTACTCACGCATCTTCTCTGTGGTGATCTGAGCACTTTCAATACAAAATATAATAAATAGTCTTTCATCATATAAATGAAAAATCACTTATAGCACTATACATCATAAGTATAAAGTAAGCATTGTATAATGACAGTAAATAACGGTAACTGGGATAATATGGCTATTTACAAATAAGGAAACCATAATTGTACCTTTTAGGTAACAAGGAGAATTAAAGGAGAATTTATATAATCAATTCCCAGGCACAAGCTGTCAAGGTGTTAAGTAGTCAAGGATGTATGGTATTATAGCTGACAGAAATAAAATGTATGAAATGGATAAAAATGAATTTCTATAACATTTAATTAATTTTAGAAAATTGATAAATTCCAAGATATGTTTATAGAACCTTATAGAAACTTAAAACATGTCTTTGACAATGAAGAAAATGCTATATTATACTTAATTGAAAACAATTATATAAATAAATATGATAAATTTAAAGAATGTAATTATGATATGAAATTATATGTTAAAGAAAAGTTATTTAAATGCAAAAATTATAAATGTAGAAAAGCTATTTCGCCATTTAAAGGAGCAATTTTTAGTAAATTGAAGTTACCAATAAATATACAAGTACATTTGTTATATGAATTTTTTAAAAAAACTCCTTCAACTATTTTATCATCAAGTTTAGAAATAGATAGAAAAACAATTACGAAATACAATAGATTATTTAGAAATTATTTGAAAGATAAACAAATATATAATAAAAATAGAAAGATTGGAGGTAGGAATGAGATAGTAGAAATAGATGAGTCTAAAATAGCAAAAAGAAAGCATAAAAAAGGACATAAAGTAGAAGGTGTATGGGTTATTGGTGGTATACAAAGAAGCAGATTAAAAAATAAAATTAAAAATGAAAATAAGAAAATGTTTCTTTTACCTATAGAAGAACGAAATATTGAGAATATAAATGAGAT